ATCGATTAAAATCATAGAAAACACGGAAAAATTCCGAAAAGAAACCACGAGTGCTTTGTCCAAAAATTCCAAGAAAAACATATGATAAAATCCGAAAAAAGGGGGACCGCAAGCACTCTGGTCGGGGCTAGGCTCTACTATATATTAGTCAGCTTGCACATAGGTTTCAAACATGCATAAAGTGGGTTGTATCAATTTTGTTTGTAGTAAAAAATATTTTTTTGTTTTTAAAAAAGGTGTATATGTTATTATCAATTTTGAAAATTAGTTGTCCACGAGTCTATCACGCTGTCGGGCATAAAACTACCAACAATCTAAGAAGGTTCGGGTCAACTCCCGCTAGTCTTATGTCGGTGAATGAAACTGTCATCCTACAGCTCACCGGATTCCTGAATCGGATCCTGATGGGTTCCTGAATCGGATCCCGTTGTCGTAGGATGACATATCATTCTACTCTATCTCAGGTGTGTCTTTGTCATCACCGCCTTAAGCCCTAAAAGAAAGCTGACCTACGTGCGACCTTGCTTAATGGTTTCACGTATAGCAAAAAGGTTATACGTGGACACTTATGTATTAGACATAAGCATAAAAAGCCGAACCAAGAAGCAAAGAAAAAAAACAAAAATGAGGTGAGAGAGAGGGAGGGCTGATTCACCGAAAACATCGAAAAGAACGGAGAATGAATCATCTCTCAAAACTCATGACAAAAAAGACCTGAAAAGGAAGACCCGAGATCCTTGAATCAATCCGGAAGGATATCACTTTCTCACATTTTTATAAATGGCTTAACCCGAGTCAAAATGACCTCTTAACGTCGGTATCCAAACCCTAAAGATATCTTTTATGAAATCAATTCATCTCAGCCAAACATTCTCCCAGGATAAAATTTGGAAATCTCCCAAATTTCATAAATCAAACAAAAGGAAAGTGACCCTGGGGAAACCATCACTAGTATTTCCAACCCCATATAAAAATCAGGATCTTCCAACTTCCAAATTAATCAATAGCCTCATATATCAAATAAACATAAAATCTTCCCATAGAACCAGAGAAATGCTCATGGCTGGGGTCAATAGAGGGGGTTATAGCCACCAAGGCTTTTGGTCAAGGCAAAATAGGGCCAAAGGGACTCACGGTCAAGGCAACCCAAGGCACAAAAGGAGCGGAGGCTCACGACCAAGGCAACCCAAGTCACAAAAGGAGCCCACGGCCCCAGTAGCAACAGGAAAGCTATCCAAAGTATTGCCTTCGATACGTAAGAGAGTGAATGAACAAGCTTGTATAAATCATTCAAACTGGCTCCAATTTCCCCCAAGTAAGACATACAAAATATGCTCAATTTATTTTTGATCGCCTCACTCTATAGATCATGCAAATGCATATGTTTTTGGATGACAAACTTGATTCATCCATAAGTTCGGCAGGAAGAGCCAAACAACCCCGGATAGCCTACCAACAAGCTCAGGGGTGGAGCTAAGAACAAGCATGGACCAACTCCACTACAAGCCTTCGGGTAAGAGCAGAAAAAGGCACAAGACGTGCCCCCAACAAGCTCTCGGGTAAGAGCAGAAAAAGGGCACAAGACAGGCTCTCAACGAGCTCTCGGGTAAGGGCCAGAACAAGGCATAAACAGGCCCCCAACAGAAGCAAGCAAAGGGCAACCACCAAAACTCTCGAGTAGGGACAAGTATAAGGCATCAATCATGGGCTCTCGGGTAGGGACTAAGGCAAACAAAAATCAAACTCAAACCACTCCTCGGGTTGGGACAGGACAAGACAACACCGTGCTCCCAAATCAAGCCAAAATAAATCCCTCAATGTTAACAAGTAAAGCTCACATACCCAAAACAAGATCTCAATCCAGAACCCAACCTCCAACTCTTCCAAGGTGAAAATCGAGCCCCTAAAGAGATCAAATCAAAGCTTTAAAGGCTAATCAAATGCAGTATATGATAGCAATCCAAACCCAACCATTTTTAGTCAAACTGAAAACCAGCAGGGGCAAAAAGAATAAACCCAAATTCAAACAAAAATAAGCCTCATAATCAGGCAAGAGTCAAGAGCTAGAGCAGGTAAGACCGAGCCTCAATGGAGGCCAGAAATCGAGCCACTCAAGGCTAAAACAGGGCCCAAGCATAGATAGAAACTCAAGCTTTAACAGAAATGAAAGTTTCAACTACTTCAAGGTGAAACCGACCCATTTAGAACTAAAGAGTAGTTCACATGCCTTTTGAAACATCAAGATATAGCGCCAACATATGTCTTAAACAAGAGCAATAATATAGAGAGTATATTTAGGCCCCTAATTTAAATATTCCAAGCATGAAACATCTTCCAATAGAAGTTTAAACAAAGTGATGCCTCGTGAGATGCTAAACCCAACCATCAAAACAAGTTACAAGACTTGTCGAATTAAATAAATCCTCCCATAACATGTATTTCATGCAAGGAAGAGCTATATGAAACCAAAGCCGAGCCCCCAAGCATGCATGAAAGGCTAAATAAACTCTCCAATATCTCATGCTAAATAAGAATAGATGAAAAACCTCATAATACATATCCCAACATACTTGCAAGAGGAGCCAACATCAGCTCAAAGCTACATTTTCAATTATTCCAACTTGCTTTTGAACAACAAGAGAAAAGAGAAGCTAGCATCGTCTCAAAGCCATGTTTCAACCTTCTTATTCACAGTGATAGAAATATGCTATAGTTTTAACATTTTAAGCAAGTAGGGAAAAGTGAAAAGCCGATAACATGCTATACTTCTATCCTTCTAAACAGGTAATCAAATCTAGCCCTTAAAGTATGCTTGCATTTCTATTCCTAGATGCTTGAGTATTATGTATTCAATAATTTAAGTGCCAACTAAGTCAGCATGCTGTATCACCCATCGCACCGAGCTAACAGGGGCTCGGCAGAGCAAAATCGAAAAAAAGGCAAGACACAAAAGGGGAAAAAGGTACCTCCTTGAAGCAAAAGAAAGTAACAGGCACTCTCTAACTTCAACTTCTCCTCCACCAACAAGAGGAAATAAATTCAAGCACCAGAAAATTAAATAATTAAGTGAGAAAAGAAAATGACAGAGTTTCCTCCCTAAGAGATTTTCGGCATACCCCCAGGGCTACAAAACCGAGCTCTAATATATGCCAGAGAAGGAGAAGAATGATTAAGAAGATACGGTGGAAGGATCGAGCGCAGAGGATATGATCATCGCAGAGGCCACGCTCTGCGACACGGAGGGTGGAGAGCAGGGTCGAGAGCGGAGGATACGAGCCTCGGCAATGATAAGGGGATGTGTTGCCTGCGAGGTTGTCTCGCGTGCGAGAGGAACGAGCGTGGGGACGAAACTCCAACGGCACGAAGGTGTGGGCCAGATGAAACCGAGCGAACCGCAGTTAGGGCAGAGGTCCACGAGCGCAAGAGGAAGAAACGGGAGAGGGGAAATAATCTAGGTTAAGGATTTTTTTAACATAAGTTAATAATAATAATAATAATAATAATAATAATAATAATAATAATAGCAATGAAACAAACGTCCCCCCTAAGCAAAATTGATGTTCTGGATGCATCGGCGCAGTCCGTTCTGTCATCCAGAGTCGTCTGAGGCAACCTCGTCGTCAATCGGGTCAAAAACGCATCGCGGTCCAAATCCTATCAAAATTCCAGTATGAGTTCAATCAAACAGGACGGTGTAGAGGATGGCGACGCCAAATCAACGTGTGCAGTCAATCCTAAGGCCGATAGTCCTATAGGAATACTCTCCGTGTTCCTTCAGAGTATCTTTACCTGCTAAGCTATTGCGGCAAAAGTGCTATATGGAATGTCAAGTCGAGCGAATAAAAGTTCAGAATTGCTAACGGGGATGGCTCCTTCACTAGTTTTCTAGTAGTAGTCGACAGAAAGGTCCTACGGCTACATCCTAGGCTACTAAGGAGGGGAAAACTGCGCCTCGATCGAAAGCGAGGTCAACACTGAGGCTCCCCATGTTTTGATTAACAGATGATTAAAAGAGTGCTATGTACTTTTCATTACCCATTTCATATACTTATAGCGGACTAGTGCAAAATATTAACAGTTTGGCATCTTTTTAATATTTTTTTTGAGAACAACATGCACATTGTGAGGTTTTTAGCTCATTGACTTATTATCAATAAAATAAAAATCAAGCACATTGTTTCTAATTTTAGTAGATATGGTGTTAATAATTATTTTTTCAGTTTTATTAAAATATAATATAATCTATAAGTTTGATAAGTTTAAATTTCATATATCTTTTATGCATATTAATGGATATATGGGTTATAATATTATATCTAGAGTTTAGATTGAATGATTAAGGAAGAAGCGCCTCAAAAGTTGTGTGATATGAGGATACCATGAAGGCTTAATCGTACATTTTATAAAATCATAATGAGGTTGACAATGCTATATGGATTCAAATGAACTATAAAGAAGGCCATTGATGTCTAAGTTTTGTGTGCTAGAAATAAGAATGCTATGCTAATTATTTGGCAAAACTTGGAAATATAAATTAAGGGATGATTATATTATAGGAAAAGTTGGATTGAAATTTATTAAAAATGAGCTGACTGAAAATAGTGTTGTTTATACATATACAACTAAGGATATGAAATGAGCTTGATTAGCAAGCCTATAAAATTTGTGTTAATAGTATTATGAAGTAAAATGAGTGGAATTAAGATTATGCATGCCACAAATTTTATCTCTTAAAATTGCGATGTTCAACTATCTTATTTTTCTTCATGCTTATGGGAATGCTTGCAGTCTTGCATTCTTTTAACTTTATATTGTTCATTTTTCTCGTGTTTTGTTCCATCTCGTTGTATTGACTAGTTAAGGCTTGATGGAAATGCATTGCAAATTTATGTCAGATCTTGCGAAACTTTTATTTTTGATGTTTTTTTAATTCGTTTTCTTATGCATCGTGTGAAAGATCCTGTGGTGGTTATATTTCTGAATTCTAGTTAACTTTGTAGGATAAAAATGATTTTGAGCTTTCAACGTTACCTGCATTAGTTCCTGTGCTGACTTCTGCATCTGGCGAAACACTACTACTCCTTGTGAAGCATGCTGATCTACTTGTTGACAAGGTGATTGCTAATTATTTTTGTAAACTTACTAGAAGTCCATTTCTTGTTCTGCGATAAAATTTGATAATATTTGTTTTATATACTAAACCCACTTCGGACACCATTATTCTGAACTACTTTATGTTAATAATTATTTGTCTTTGTGTTTTCATTATTGTGCTTTTTTGCCTTCCTCTCTTGATTACTATGAATTATAGGCATTCAAGAGGGTGTTGCGTCTTCGTAGTGCCATTTCATACATTTTGACGCTCAAAACATGCTATTTAGTACACCAACAACAAAGCCTTAATCCCACTACGTGGGGCCGGCCCCACGATTCCTTTTTCTCCATTGTGTCCTATTTAGTGTCATATTTTCATTTAGTTCTAATAAATTAAAATGCTATTTAGTGTCGTTTTTTGAAATTTTAAAATACACTATGGTCCTTGAACATCTTTTGAAAATTTTTTGGAGAGAGAGAGAGATCTATGCATTTATTATGTATATGCATGTGCACAAGGTGCTAATTTGAAAGGCAGTGTCCAACCAAAGTCGTTAGCCTATAGTTTTTAATTGTTATATTTCAGATGTTTCATGTCATTTATGTCCTTTTGTTTGTTTTTTTTTGTGCATCTTTGTCACCAAATTACATTTTGGTGGCATAGGGTGCTTCCGAGGGATTTTTTTGTTATTATTTTGGTTTCTCTATTATTTATATTTTTTTCCAATACAAATATGGGGCATGTATCTTTTATGGTTACAAATGAAGGCTCAATATGCCGTGATCCTTTTGTAAGCTGTAGGGAGCATCGCAATTAAGTTCGTTATTAAGGAATGCTGTTTGATTCACTGCATTTGATGAAGCTAGTTTTTAAAGGCAGCTGAAGTATTGTGTAGAGTTTTTTTTGTTAAAATATTATACTCATTTTAAACCTTCCAGTTGATGAGTCTGGATTTGAAAGCTTTTCTAACCTTCAAACCTCCAAATTTTGAATGGAAAGAGCATTTTATTTGCTATGCACATGTTTACTTTCTGGTTTACAGTGCATTTGATGTAAGCTCCCTTTCATCTCTGCATAGGTCAATTTTGTAGGATGTATGCTTGTAACCTTTTGATTTTTTAATGACTATAACATATGCCTTTTATTAAATAACTTAATTCTTGCAAGAAATTTTGAATTATCTGATGTTCTGAAATTGTATCTGAAAGTTCTAGTTGTCTGACTGAACTTCAACATATTAATCAATTGAAGATTTTCAACTTTTTATTTTATCATGCTTTTTTTTACCGTGCTATCAGCCTGATTATTCATTCTTATTTTTTCTCTTTTTTTGATTTCATAGGCTACTCAGGAGTATTTATTATCCCATGTTCTTCCATTACTTGTTCGAGCTTATGATGATAGTGATACTCGCATACAAGAGGAGGTTTTAAGGAGAACTTTACCCTTAGCAAGGCAGCTTGAAATGCAGGTAATGTTGACCTCCTTCAATTAAGAAACCTTACTTAGATTTCTTTGGATTATCAGATTGTTATCAATCCTTGATATAAAGTAGCGAAAATGACTTTGTTAGCAGCCATATTTTGAGAGTGATTTTTTTTATATTTAGCCTTAATGGTGCAACCATGTATTATATTTGTTTCCATGTTAATATAGTTAAAATGGTCTATGAGTTTAGTTTTAGGGAAAGTAGACATAGATCTTTATGATTACTGTTGTGCCTGCTGGAAAAGTTATTCCTGTGGATCTCTTCGATTTCCTTTCTATTGGGATCATTGATTCCAATATTTACAATGGCGTGTTTTCTACTCCTAAGTTTAAATCTCATAGGTCTGTGGTTTCGCTACTTAATTGTTCCAAAGCACCGGCGCCTTTGTGTGGCCGCTCTACCTACCTTTACATCATTTATTTGAAATTGAAGCTTCTTACTCTCTATTTGACGACTAGCCCATATCTCTCCGCAAATTCTACAAAAGCATTGCCAGAATCCTGACCGATTGAAGCAAGATTGTTCTTCTCAATGTTATGTTGAAAGCCCAAGCTGCTTTCCTCTCTAGCAGACAACTCAATAAGTTTGTTTGGCTTGCTTATGAGCTTAAGAATGGTTTTAACGCTAAACATTTATGCTATAATTGATCTTTGTAAATCATTGACTATCTAAGCCTTGCTACTTTGCTCGTGTATTTTATAGAAAGACTTTTCTATCATGCACGGCATTCAAACCAAGGCCTGAATTAGCAATTTTGATTGGTAAGGAAAAGCTAGTCTCTTCTATATGAGCTTCCTTAATGTATAGAGGAGATGACTCGAAGTTAGTTTTTCTTAAGATAAATTGAATTTATTTTAACTAGATTTTTCTTAATTTTTTATCGGTGTTTATTTAGAATGAGATTGAGATTTATGAGCGCAAGTAGTGCTCCCTCGATTAAGGAGGTTGCTTTTGCGTAAATTTAATGTTAGCTTGAATTTTAAATGTGAATTTTATGGAGTAGGGAATGGTTGGTGTGAAGAAGGTAGAATCTATTAAAATCCCATGGAGTAGGGAATGAGTGGTGTGATGGAGAGGATGGGGGCAACAAGTAGGAGCACTGGAGAGGCTGTCAGCAGCAGATCGAAGCACTGAAGTGGTTGTCGGCAAGAGATCAGAGCGCTGGAGAGGCTATCGGCTGTAATTCAGAGTGCAAGAGTGAAATAGGAATGGGTGGGAACATTGGAAAGATGGAAACGAGTAAGTGAGGGGAATATGGAAAGATAACTATCCCTGCGATAGCGAATTACAGCCGGAGCGTCATCTCGCCGTCGGATACAACCCTAGATGGGAAGAGGACGCCGATGGCTATCCAAACAGAAAACACCCAAAAAACTAAACCTAAAATAGAGAATAACACGCAAACACACACACACACATATAGTATTTACTGGTAGTTAAAACATGAAGGAAATAGAAAAATGTAAGGAATAGTAGAGGAAGGAATAGAAATAGAGAGGAATAGAAGATGGAGTTCCTTCTATGGAAGGAGTAGAATAGGAAATTGGGAGAGGGAAGGGGCAGCAATTCTAGTCCCCAAGATGGCCGCTCAGTTCAGCCGGCCGCCCAGCAAGCCCTGCGTCAGTATCACAGGGTTGGTGGAGCGTTGACTTCATTCGTCGAAGTTTTTGGCCTCTTGTAGTACGGAGTTAAATCTGCCACGTTGAAGGTAGCTAAGATAGTGTAGTGCCCTGGTAATTTGATCATGTCGGTGTTGTCATTACACAAAACATCTTAATTGAATAAATATGCATTATCTCTTGGCACGACCTTAGCTGAGGTTGTATATAGATGTAGGTTCTCGCAATGTAACTATTAAGCCCTTAAGTCTGGAACATTCTTGTTATACTTCTCATGCTCAGTGGAATGTTACTGATAAATCAATATGTGAGGAGAGATCGACTCTGGGGTGGACTCAGTGTCAAGTTGCACCATTTTCACTCGCAACTACTCAGGAGAGACCTCTTCTTCATTGATAGGAACCTGGATCCCACTGAAGAATTTTCTTCCCTATCAAGTTCCTAAGACAAATTTTAAGGCTGGAGTTCATCCTTCCTGCCTGGTGGGTACACTGCTGAACTAAGTCTAACATTTGAATAACTCGATGCAATCTTCTCGACATGGCACAAAAAGGCCTTATTTCTAACGTGTTGGATCTCCCTTTACAGGGGCAACTTATGAATGAATTCTAAATTTGAAAGGTCTGAATTTCTCTTCTCTAGGGATGTCGTGCCTCTTGTGTTAGTTCTTCGAACTCAAGACTGTCATGAAAACTCACTGTGAAGTCGGCTGGAGTCTCTCCCACGAGCTTTAGCTAGAATTGTGTATCTTTTTCTCCTCATCACTAACTTTCTCCATGGCCTCCTGCTCAGTAAAAGACACGACTTAGCTCGTTAGGCAGCTGGAGGCAATGTACCTAAATCCATGACATTCAGATATCAACGCAAATCCTCGAGAAATATTATTGCTAAATTCGAAGAAACTTACAACGACAATTCTTTGAACAGGAAGTAAATGATAACAAACATAAAACGACACAAGCAAACACCACTAAAGTGTATCTCAAAGGTGGTGGAGGTCGGCTGGGTGGATTGTGATGGCTGGAGGGCATTGCAACAGCAAGGTAATGTTGGCGGCAGCGAGGGGGAGGTGCTGAAATGCTGGGACAACAAGTATAGAGGTTGTCCCAGGTGATGGCACGAGGAGTTAGGGTGGATAGCGATGAGAAAACAGGAATGAGGTGTTCCCTGGTTGACTTGAGCGACAGCGTCACGACGTGAGGGCTTAGATAGTGGGAATAAGGTGCGGTTTGGGCGGCAGCAATGCTGGAAGGGAGCGAAAGGTGGCAGTTAGGCTGAGGAATGCAAAAAACAGCAAACTAAGTGCTGTTGCTAGTGGCTGCATCGAGGTATGGCGACAATGAGCAATGTGAGAGGATGTGGAAAGGAGTAGGAGGAAGATATTCGCCATCTCAAGAGAGAGATAGAGCTGGGGCATCACTCAATCCGTTGGATATATCCATTGAAGGGGGGAAGAACGACTGTCGGCGGCTGCCCTAAATGCAGCACATGAAAATAAAAGCTATTAATCAAAACCTTAATACATATATATAGGGAAGGACTAAAAAGAATGAAGGATGATAGAAAAAAAATAATAAAAGAAAACAAGACTGTTTCGGCGGTGCGACTCGCCTCTCTCCCTGTTTGTTTTCCCACAGTACTATAACAACTACAATATCACGAGAAAACTGTGGGGGAAAAGTGCGCCCAGATATATGTCGGTCCAGGATGAACTGGTTGAATGCAACCGCGAGCCGGTCTTTACCACTTAAAGAGGCGGAGGGGTTCAGGCGGGTTGCAAAAGAAGCAAAGGAGAGGGTGGGATCCACTAGGGCTATAATCACATATTCAATGAGGAGAAATTAAAGGAGGTTTAGAGGGAAAGTGTGAAATGAAGGCTTTCAAATATTGTGGGAGGATTCTATGAAGGGGGGAACCTAGGGTTTATTTTCTTTCATGCATGTTATTTGGTGGATGTTGTTTTTTCTTTATGTAGGTGTTCATAGCGACGTCTAGGGTTGCGGGAGAGCCGATCTACCATTCGAAATGTAGAAACTGTCCTATATTGCTTATTTGCATTTGTTTTTTATAAGAGAAGCCCTCGTTTGAGTTTTCTTATCCATCTATTGTCGTTTCATTGTGGTGTGCTTGTTGATTTTGGTCCGGGGCGTATCAACTTGGTATAAGAGCCTAGATCTTGGTGGGATGACAGTAAAGAAAGGGATGTGCAAGAAGAAGTGGTCGGGAAAGTTAGATAGGGAATGGAAGAGAAGTTCGCCGTCATGGAGGACATGTTTCTTACATTGAAAGTCAAATGGACGATGGATTCAAGAGCATAGGAGAAATGTGGGAGATGATGAAAAAACTCATGCAGATGCAATCCAAGGCCAAGGTCGTACCGACCGCTCTTGGCTAGGTTAAAAAGGAAGGAGATCAAGCGAGAAGACAATGAAGAAGACATCATCTACCTAAAAGAGCGTCCACCCATGACTTCGAGAGGAGGGGGTGTGGAGACTTCCGATGGAGGGGATTGGCCGAAAATGGGAGAAGGGATGGTATAAGGGGCACAAAAGGGCACGATGGAGAAAGATGAATTCGGGAGTGGGATATGCCTATGATCGAAGGAGGGATTTCTACCCTAGATACATGGGAGAAATACCAGAGGAAGAGGAGGTTGGGGTTGAGATACAAAGGCTATAAAACTGAAAATGGCAATCTTCGAAGGGGAGGATACACATGGGAGTTTATTGGGTGGAGTAATACTTTCTAGTCAATAGTTGACGGAGGAAGGGAAGCTCATGGCAGCGGGATTATGCTTGGTGGGAAAGACATTAGCATGTTTTTAGTGGATGGATGCAAGATATTCGATGCAGTCTTGGGAGTAGTTTAAAGATTGCTTGTTGGAGCATTTTTGAGCAATTTGGGAAGAAAACCTGCACGAGCAATTCTATGCTCTAGCTCAGGAGGGTACGGTTGCGGAATACCAGGAGAAGTTCGAGCTCTTGTCAGGAAGGTTGAGGTGGATTTCTGCAGCAGGACTAGAAGGGAACTTCTTGAAAGGCATAAAACCCGACATACAAGCAGTCATTTTGCCCCTTGAGATCGTGAGGATTAAGGGAAATGATGGAGCTCGATTTGATGATGGGGGATAATACCGGAGGCTTCTACAGGAGCACATTGATAGCCACGACACTGAGGACCCAGGCGGTATCTTTTCAAAAAGAGATGATGAAGGAGAAGAGTGTGAGACCCCATCCCGGAGGTAATTTCAAGCACTTCACAGAAGCAGAAGTGTAGGATAAAAGGGCAAATGGATTGTGTTACCGCTGTGACAAGAAATACACCGATGGACAATTGCAAGGAGCGCGCCCTTCAGATTCTATT